TGTAGAAAATCCCAACCTCGAAGCTAGAAGACCAAGAAGAGAGTGGAGAAACCTCAAGGAAGCCGAAATCCAACTCTATTAAGATGAAAACGAATATCTAGGTGAGCTCTACCTTTTTAACAAAGGGAGTAAGGTAGAGAAATGGGTAGATCTTGGTGTATTTGTAGAGAAAGAGAGCAAGTTCTAGAGAGAGAAGCTCCAGATTTAGGATTTTGAAATGTTTAGAGAGAGAGAGAGAGAGAGAGGTGAAAAAGTGATGTAAAAAGTGACTTTTAAGAACTCATATACACACAGTCCGCTCTAGCGCAAGATGTGTCGCTCGAGCGGCCAGACACAACAAATTGTTCCACTTGAGTGCAAGAAGTTTTCTCTCGAGCGTAGAATATACACTCCCTGTAGTTTTGCAGACAATAGACCAACGCTCAAGCATAAGAAGGACCGCTCGAGCCAAGACCGCTCTAGCGCAAGAAGTATAGCTCGAGCATGGAATACACTCTCCTAGTAGCTTTGCAGACTTGCAAAAGAACTGAGAGTTTGCAAAGATCGCTCGAGTGTAGAGGCCAAAATCTGGGTAACCAAAGTTTTGAAAAACAAGCTACCAATCTGTTTCAAACACAACCAACACATCCCAATAGGCAAACTCAATGAGGGAAAAGATGAATAAGACCAGAACAACGGTACAAAACCAAGAAACCTGAATCTAGAATATCAAATAGGTCGGATCTTAAACTAGAATCGCTATAATTTTGGTGATTAAAGATATTGAGATTTCTTTATATTTTATATTTAAATTATACTTTTACATGAAAATCTAATATCTAATAATCTAAATATAATTAAAAAGTAAAATATTAGTAAATTTTTTTTTTTATAAATTCAGACATGTACTTATTTTTTATTATTATATTTTTTTTGTTATTATTATTTAATATTAATAATTTTTTTAAAAAAATACACAACAAATTATTTTCTAAATGTATTTGGATTACGTGAATTTAAATCTAAAAGTAAACTAAAAAAATTAAAAAAAAATATTAAATTAAGTGAATCTAAAATGAAAATAAAAGGGTTATTAAAAAAAAAAGTGTTAAAGACAAAAAACATGAAACTCAAAAATTTAAAACAAAAGTTTGAAAAAACAAACCAAACCAAACACTATAAACTTCTCTTTTTTAAATATTTCTTTACTAATCTCTAATTTTATACAAATTATTCACAAATTCCTTTCAATTTTTATGTGAATTTAATAATGAGAAAATTATATGCAGGTGAGAGAAAGAGAAAAAAATAACTTACACATGAAGGGGTGCAAGTGACACTTTCACCCCCATAGCCTTTCATTTGCACTCCACCAGAGACACATTTGCACCCTCCATGTGTGGGTATTTTTTTTCTTCCTTCTCCCACCTGCATGTAGTTCCCCCTTTAATAATCTAATTAAAAAATGGTGCATATACACAAAAATGTAACACTAAATATCAACATTTATGACCAACTATTTAAGTATGAATAATTAATTTCTCATCGTTACCTGTATTATATTGTTGTAAAAAAATTCACATTTATTTTTGTGATGTTTTATATAAGTCAATGTCTACGTATATATAAATATATAAAAATATAAATATAAATTTATATATGTTACTGTATTTATACATTGTTAATTTGTAATGCTATATTACCATTAGATACTTTAATTTTCTAATAATATGTATCGCTTTAGTAATATAGTTATATTTGCTAGGAAAAAATTACGAAATTATGTATTGTTCTCCTATCAACTTATATTCAATATATATATATATAAATACATACATGTCATACAAACAAGTGTCCGCAACAAACACTTTCAATAACAAACTAAAATTTTACAAAACATCTACATCACAATAATAGTTAGACATTTTATATTTATTTTTTTCACGATAATTGTATAGCAATTGTATACTAATAACTAATGTTATATTTTTCATCATGCAAGATATTTGTGGCACAGAAAACGAGACTCAACAACTCTTGTCGTACAAAAATATATTACATATTAATATTAATGCATTTTTATACAAATAGTATACAAATAATATGCAATAGTGGGTTTAATGAATTTGTATTACGAGATAAACTATTAAACAAAATTGTGCAATTAATTTCATACCTTCAATTGTATTGTAGGTATGGATTATGAAAAATTGAAGTGGAAAGTTGATAGAAAAAGATTTGTGTAATACTATATATTTAAAGGACCTGTTTATTGTTTATCGTTTAAGATAAGATTGTGATCTCAACAATTTAGCTATAAATTAATGTTTATGTTTACAAAATTTCTCGTTTATCATTTAAATTCTTCAGGAGAGTGTGTATTAATTTATTGTTTAGTTGTATTTTGGATACAGATCAATTTACTCAACAAGTCTCTATACTTTGTATAGACATATCACATATCAATTTAAGATATATGCATAATTACAGTACTAACAGTTGATGAAAAATCACATGCTACGTGAAATACATGTGCTCAACTACTAGTATGAGTAAAAATGTGAGCATTTTATTGTATAATTTAGGCTAGTGTTGCTATTAGCATCCTATTAATTATTTTGAACTCTCCATTTTCTTTGAATCCCTACTTATAAATTCTGAAACCCTTAAAATTTATTTTCTCTCCTCAAATAATATCAAAATTGTCATTGTGAAAACATTCCACCCATTTAATTGAATGCACACCCCCACATCCCAGAAAACCTCTCTTCCCAAAACTCTAACAAAACCCACAAAAGAGATTACTATTTCATCTCCACATATTTGTTCATGACTTGAGAAAATAAATGTAGGCTTTTTTGTTATTGATTCAAAATTTCCCTTTTGTGAGTTCTGCGATCTCCACAATTTTCGGTTATTTGTTCTCGAACAAATAAGAAATGTTCGATTACCTATTCCTGAACAAATGAACAATGTTCGGACTTGTGTTCCCGAATTTCAGTCATATGTTTGGGAGTTCAATCCCAAAAAAAAGACAAATAATTTTGATTATTTTTGTCATTTTTTTTCAACAAACTTACCTTTACAAGGCCAATCTCCCCTGAACTAAGAATGTCATCAAATTTATGAATCTCCTCTAAACTTTTATTGTTGTACTCCTTTTGTCTCATGGAGTTGTGATTGCCGGAAAAACTTCTACTCATTGTCATTGTTAGAGAAGTGTAGGTAATCAAATGGTTGTCATCGTTATCGTCGAAATATTGCCGCCAAAGGGTTTTCAAGATTTTGAGGGTATGTAGGTTTGAAGGTGGGACTTAGGGAAGATAGATGGGTGGTAATGGAGGTGGGTGCTCTCATAAACCTTAGCTCGTGATGTAGTGGGTGTGTCGATTTAATTGTGAGACAGGGTATCCCAAAATTATTGATGTCCTTTTTAGTAATTCATTTGAGGTTATTATTGTAATAAAAAAAACTAAAAAAATGAAGGGTTTAAAATAAGAGTGGTACTATTAGCACCACATGAATTATATTGGACCCCCCATTTCTTTAGGCCCCAATTTATAAATTTTGAAACCCTCAAAATTTCTTTTCCTGCTCCCAAATAATACCAAAATTATCATTTTGAAAACATTTCACCCATTGAATGCACACCCCCCACTTCCACACCCCCAAAAAACCCCTCTTCCAAAAAATCCTAACAAAACCCACCAAAAAAAAGAAGAGCCAATGTGATTACTGTCACTGCTGCCTCGTTTACCATTGTCACAGTTAGTATGCTCTTTCACTCTCTCTCTCTCTCTTTCTCTCTCTCTCTCTCTCTCTCTCTATATATATATATATATAATTTTTTAGTTTTCTCGTAATAATTTCTTCTCTTCTAGGGAAAAAAATTATAATAATTGGTTTGGTTGGTAGATATTATAAAATTGTAAGTTTAGCAAAGAACTACGTAGCAATATTATCAAAGTTACGTGATGAATGAATAACTTTTGAACCTGATAATGGATTTGGGCTACTTCCGATAACTTCTGCAAGTGCTAGAAATTTTGATCATTCAATGTGTTAAGAGATTTCCATGTTCGGACCTATATTCCCGAACTTGAAAAAATGAAAACTTCTGCATGCATTAATAATTTTAACTGTTCAATGTGTTAAGATATTTCCATGTTCGGACCTGCATTCTCAAACAAATAAACAATGTTTGGGCCTATATTCCCAAATTTCGGTCATATATTAGAGAGTTTAGTCCTCAAAAAATGACAAACAGATTTTATTATTTTTGCAATTTTTTTCAAGATACTTATAACAAGGTCAATTTCCTCTGAGTTAAAAATATCACAGCTATGAACCTCCTTTAAGCTTTTATTGTTGTACTCCTCTCGTCATATAGAGTTGTGGTTATCAGAAAAATTTTCATTCATTATCATTGTCGAAGAAGTACATGTAGTCAAATGGTTGCTACTGTTACCGTAGGAATATTGTCGCCAAAGAGTTTTTAAGGTTTTAAGGGTAGGTAAGTTTTGAATGTGAGATTTGGGGAAGATAGATATGTAGTGATGGAGGTGAGTACTCTCATAAACTCTAATCCATGATGTAGTGGGTGTGTAAGTTTAATTATGAGATGTGGTGTCTCAAAATTAATGATACCCTTTTTAATAATTTTATTTAAGATTATTATTGTAATAAAAAAATGTTAAAAATTGAAGGGTTCAAAAAAATTTATAGGATATTAATAACAATACTCTAAAATAATTGATATGAGTACTAATAGTAGTACTCAATTTAGGTTGTCTGTGTATATTATAAAATTACTTTTTTTTTGCCAATTAAATAAGCTTTTATGATTACTAATTTGAATAGATGGTCTCCAATTAAACTATATGAATTAAAATAAAAAATATTAAGGACCAAGTGAAATTAATAATTTTAAAAAAATGACAATAATTTAAATTAAAGAAAAAGGAAAAATTAAAATATTCCGGGAAAAGCAAACATGGCCGGTGCTACCGTCACCGGATTGTTGGACTATTCGCCAACTCATCACATGCCCAAAATCTTCTCTCTCCCCTTCATCGCTCTCTCCATTGCTGCATATACTCTGAGAATTCTAAAGTCTCTCTTCAAATCTCAAAAGCCTAAAAAGTTAGACAGAGAAAAATACCACACAGCAATTATTCACTTCTCTCTCTCTATATATATTGCCAGCTCTACATACTCTCCTCTCTCTCTCTCTCTAAGCCTCACTTAATCATCTTCTTCAGGAGAGGGAGAACACAGAGATCTCAGAAGGTACGTCGATCTACTGACCACTGCTTGATCAGGATTGATTTAGATCTCATGTTTTGTGGTTGCTTATATTAATCTTTTGTTTCCAATTTTGACTGTTATTTGAAATTTCTTTCTTTGATCTGAGCTAGATGGTCTATTATTAATATTTTTGGTTAATTAATTGAATGTGAGAACTGAGAAATAATGTGTTGTTAAATTTAATTGCTGGCGATTAATGGTTTTTGATGGTTTGATCTCTGCTTTTTGCATGTGTTTTAGTGTGCTTCTTTTAAGCTTGAATGATTGTTGAGGCCTTGTTTGAAATGGAACTGATTTTGATCTGTAATTGAATATGAGAGTGAGGAGATCTGTATATTAAATGTGTTTTGTGACAATCAAGTGGGATCGTTTAAGGGTTTATGATTTTTTATTTTATTTTATGATGATGTTTGCAATCGGACAATGTGGGTCATTATGATAAAACAAGTAATTGGAAAATTGTTTCAGAAAGCAGTGTTCTCGGGCCATGATAGTGAAGTGGATTAGTGCATAATTATGTTCAGAATTCTTTGGGTATGTTTGGAGCTATTGGAATGGTGAGGGCTGCATTGGCTGCATTTTGTTTGACATAACTGGTTTTGAAGCCAAAGAGATTTCTGACTGTGTGCTTCTATTCTACCCACCATACTTGGCTTTTTGCATTACTCTTATGAAGTGTGGGAAACAATGTGTGAAGTGTATTATAAAACAGATAACATGTGTGGTAGCGGAGCAAATGCTATTAATATCACTTTTTCCAAGTGCTATGGGTGTTTTGGTTTTCAGTAATTGTACTACCAAAATTATTTGAAGGAGTCTCCAAATGGATCATCAGCATGAATTTGCAGATTGCGGAATAATGTTGCTCTGGAGTAACATTAAAGGGATGAAATGAAATTGTCATGGCATAATGAGAATTCTAAGAGGTGACTTTTTTATGGTCTACTATGCTCAAAAACAGTATGATGTATCACCTCAATATGAATCATGGAGAAAACAAATGGAAGTGAGGGGAAAACTTGTAGTGGGAGGACCCAGAGATATCAAGGAAGGAAAAGAGGAGATTCTTCTATTAATTTTTAAATTTACTCGGAGACTTCATTGTTTTGTGGAAGAAAACACATAGGAGAGTCAAATAATATAGGCCTATTTGATGTTTTCCTATTTGTGGTCCCATGACTAGTAAACAATTGGGTTGTTAAGTGTGAAAATGTGTGTTTGAGATAAAGGGTGTGCAAGAAAGATCAAAGTTAAGTTTGTACCTGATTTCCAACACCATAGATTGATGGGCTGACATTGGTTAATAACTAACTTCCTTCTCTCTTTTTTTTTTCTTTCTCTATTTTGTTGTTGGAAAAAATTCTAACAAATAAAGAAAAGAAAGATGTGAAGTTTAATGGAGTTGATTTTCATAATATGGGAGAAGGTTTTGAAGTTTTGTGTGATTCATTAAGCAAAACTACCTTAGGGTTAGGGTGGTAATTCCTAAGGGATTCTAGGTTGGATTTTTTTTCTTCTTCTTCTTCTTCTTCTCCTTCTTCTTCTTCTTCTTCTTACACAAGAACATCATAGTTTCTAAGCATCACTGACTGTTCACATCCTCCTCAGCCAGACAGCCCTCTTTTTATTATCAAATCTTACGCTGCCAAGTGCTAAACATCTCTGGTCACTTTTCCTACCCTTTGGTCTACAAGTGACACCTAAATTCATAATTAGAAGATGTGCAGAGACTTTAGCATTCAAATTCTAGATGCAACAACACATCACCTTCTAAATCAAGGCAACAACCATTTAAAAAACCCTAGAATTTTTTTCTACCTATTTGAACAGTGAACAGTAAACAGTAAGGGTTGGTTTGGGATGTCCTAAAAAAGTGCACTTTTTGACTTATTGGGGGGTTTGGGTTGGGTTTGGGTTGGGTTTGATGTGATGTGTTAGAGAGGTGATGTGATTTAAATAAGATGATGTGACTTAAATAAGATAGTGACTTTTTGACTTATTTAGTACATGCCAAATTAGCCCTAAACCTAGAAACCTTCCATAACTAAAACCCACCACAAAACCAACTCTATGCTGCTTTGTCATAAGTTTCTCAAAGCTGTCCTATATCACCCACTTCACCTCAAAATCCAAAATAGCCTGAGCAGCACCTTTCCATAAATCATTAGTCAATGGGTAAGAACAATATGAAGGACAATTTATCTTCCTGATTGTTTACAAGGCAGTTTATATGTTCATTTATTACCCCTTTGGTGGAACTCAGGATGATGAGAAAGAGGCATATAACTCTAGATCAACAGCCTTGGGGGATTGATAAATGTTTCATGAACTTGATTGCAACATCTTGAACACTAAAAGAATGATACTCTAGAATGACATGATTATATTATCCAAAATGGCAGATATACCAATGAAATCTACATTTCATCCACCTTTTATTTAACTTGATCACTTGAAAATAAAGCCAGTATAATAGAAGTAATAGGTCAGCCATTATCAAAATTGATCAGGTAGTGGGATACAAAAAATTTATGAACAAATGGCCTACTTCCACGTGACCAATGACTTCAAAATATTGCATCTACCTTTCATTTAACTTGATCAAATGAAAATTGAGCCAATATTTAAAAATAATAGGTCTCTAAAACAGTTTAATGTGATTGGATTGGAGAGGGGGATGGAATAAGATACATAGTCAAATGGCCTATTAACTCACTAGCTGACATATATTAATATCCACAACATTCTCTCTCTCAATAGATTCAGACCCATAGAATGAATACCATTTCAGCATTTCAGAAGAAGTTGCATTTATTGTACTCCATATATATTTATGGAAAGTCATATACCTTCACTATTATATTAAGAAACCTACTGCCAAAATCTACCACTCTTATGAAGATATGTTTCACATAATCATAAAAATTCTCATTTAGGAATATTTCTGCTGATATCTCCAAATATAGGTCACACACTTGCACTATTTTATATGTGAAAATCTACTGCCAATATAGTTCATCCTTGTGTAGATAAGATGCATTTAGCATCAATGGACAAGTTTATTTAGAGAAGATTGAAACTGATCTTACTTATCGGAAAATATCAACGTTGACTTTAGTATGAGTCCGATTCATTAAAAAATTATGTTCCTTTTGGTATTGCTTGATTTGATATCTTGATTACAGCTTGTTACACAAATGTTTTTGAGTGTAACTGACACAAATCATGATGGTGTGTTAACACCTGATTCCTATGAAAGCTTAAGCTGATAATGACTTTTGTAAATTTATTTATATCATCAAACACACCCTCATCTTTGACCACACTCCTTGTAATTGGCCAAGCATGTGCATGTGTCATGGTGGTTAGTGAGTTGCTGGAAATCAAATATGTGTCTGCCTACTTTAAACCAAGCCAACAATTGACTACTCAAAAACTTTAGATGATAGTGTGGCATGTCTTAGTTGCTTTTACGTTTACAAATGGATCGGCCCTTCTTTCCCAATTGGTTGTAGAGCCTTTTTTCTATTTTCTGTGTGGTAATTCTGTCTTGTTGAAGCTTTTTGCTTGTTTAATGAGTAGTGTTTTAAACCTTGATAAATACTAAGCTTATATAGCTACAAACTCTCTTTTTGATAGGTTTCCAGTCATCCAATGCAAAAGGCTATATTGCTTGCAGCAGCTAAAGTAGATGATTATGGCCAAATTGCTTTTCTTGTTATCTTGCAATTTCTTGATATTTTTCCTCTCTTGATATTTTTTCTCTCTGCTTCCTTATTCCTTCTGCAGTAGGCACCTGTGGAATTTTGAGACAACAGATCGCGGGAGCTTGAAAGGTCTTATTGCTCTCTGCCATTGTTGAAAGAAACAATAATACCAAGAATTTCACACAATGTCGAGCTCTGCAAAAGCTTTGGAACCTGCTTTTCAGGGAGCTGGTCAGAGATTGTATCCTTACTTGAAGAACTGTACAGGATAATGTATGGTGTATCGTTTTGCCCTTGTAGTTTTGTGCATTTGGGTGTGTGTGGTGTATATTATAATTCTACTTTGACAACAAGAAAGAATGGTGTATCGTTTTTCCTTGTGTGTAGTGTGTCTATTCATTTATATTTAATTTCCTCTCACTGCCACTAAGAAAGAAAGAATACATTTCAGTTTTTCCGTCCTGTGTGTGGGGGCACATTAATTTTGTTAGTTGCTAACGATGCCTCAATTGCACTTCACTTTTGAGTTTATACTTGACACCTCATAGAGGGACTGAAATTTGGAGAATCGAGAACTTCCAGCCAGTTCCTTTGCCAAAATCTGATTATGGTAAATTCTACTTGGGCGATTCATACATTGTCTTGCAGGTGCATGCTTAATTATTATTATTATTTTTCACTTTCACTGCAAATTTTCATGTTCATCTATCTTTTACATGTAAATTTTTTTAAAAAAATAAAAAATTCTGCTTCTCTGGAGGGGATATATGCACGGCAGTTACACTTCTTATATATGTCATAAATTTCTGCAGACAAGTCCTGGTAAAGGTGGTGCTTATTTGTATGACATACACTTCTGGCTTGGAAAAGATACAAGCCAGGTATGCTCTATGCTTCTTTTTTCCTTATTTATACTTTTTCAGAATTATTTTTTCATTTGTTGTTATGAATTTTAATAGGATGAAGCTGGAGCAGCAGCCATTAAAACTGTTGAACTAGATGCAATTCTTGGTGGGCGTGCTGTACAACACAGAGAACTCCAAGGTCACGAGTCTGACAAATTTCTGTCTTACTTCAAGCCATGTATTATACCATTGGAGGGTGGTGTTGCATCTGGATTTAAGAAACCTGAGGAGGAAGAGTTTGAAATACGGTTGTATGTCTGTAAAGGGAAAAGAGTTGTCAGATTGAAGCAGGTATGAGAGCCTCCAAACATGAATTTTCCGAGCTTATTATGCAACTCTTTTGAATATGAATCTTCTCTAGATTAAGGGAATGAATTTATCATTTTTGTTATCCAGGTTCCTTTTTCACGTTCCTCTCTGAATCATGATGATGTGTTTATCCTGGACACTAAAGATAAGATTTTTCAATTCAATGGTGCAAACTCCAATATCCAGGAAAGGGCCAAGGCATTGGAAGTAATTCAATATTTGAAGGACAAGTATCATGAGGGAATGTGTGATGTTGCAATTGTTGGTAAGGTCACATACATTTAAAACTTTGGTGTTGTCATCTCCCCCCCTACCTACTTCCACATATATCTCTTTGAACTTAGTTTGTTGATTTATCTTTTTCTTTTTCTTTCTTTTTTGGTTGGGAGAGGGGAGGGGAGGGGTGTGGTGGGGGGTGCTTGAGAATGTGTGCCAAATTGCGAGGCACTTGTCAACACACTTCAGGAAAGACTGGGATTTTTCCAAATGGGTTACTGGGGGGAGTTTTGAATTCATGACCTTCACTTTGGAAGGCTAGGTCCCTGCTAGCTGTTCTAACCTTTGGGTTTTGCTCATGCACATTCACTCATAAGTAGTTGCGAATTCTTCACCCATTATTTATTTTGTAAATAAATTTTGTTTGCCGAGACAGATGATGGAAAACTACAAGCTGAGTCAGATTCTGGTGAATTCTGGGTCATTTTTGGTGGGTTTGCTCCAATTAGCAAAAAGGTTGCTAGTGAAGAAGATGTTATGCTAGAGAAGACTCCTCCTAGGCTTTATAGGTATTCTCCGCTCTAGGTTCATGATGTTTACTGCTTTCCAGTTTGTGATTGCTAAATGGCTTTCGATGGAAATATTTTTCAGGAACTATGATTATATTGCTTTCTGCATATATGCATAAGAATGCAAATTAAACAACGATGACTTAAAATTGAGAATATTGAAATAGTGACACATACATGTTCCAGTAAAATGGGATTGAGGTTATCAAGTATTTACAACGAACATGTACGGAGGTGATCCCAGACAAGACTCCTTCTAAATGTAATCTGTACTTTTGTTGTTGTGTCCAATTGAGGAGTGGCATGTATGTCTAAATCATTGTTGAATTACAGTTTATTGCCCTTTTTAATATTGTTGAAAACTAGCTGGGTTAAAAATGAAAAAAACACTTTCAAGTACCTATGTGTTACAGTTTATTTTTTCTCATTCATACATAAAGCACACTTTGTTTATGGTGATGTACGATTGGCAATATTATTTAAATAATTATGTCTACATATATCAATGGTATGGGAATCAATGTTTTCAAAAGTGAGCGATTAATAAATCTAACTCCACTATTCTACCATATAATGAACCAATTTCATTATTTCCAACTCAATTCCATATAATCACAATTTTTCCAAAATTAGGGTTTTCCACCCGATTTCCCAATATTGACCCAATGGTCTATATATCAACAACCAACAGCGATATCATTATTTTGAAACCCACAATACACATTTTAGAATCAAAATAACAAAATCCTCTTTTAACCTTTTGAAACCCTAAGTCCCAAAATTACCCAACTTCAACACTTTATCAAAACAACCAAAAATCTATGTCAAAGACCATAAGAGTGAGTAGGAATCCTTACCTCAAAAGATGACACCCAAAGAAGAAGATGACGAAAACGAAGTTGCTCTAAATCACAAGTTTAATGTAGCCATCGATGATCAACCCAACTTTTACAAAGGCCAAAGGGGAGGGAAGCACTCTAACTAGATCAAACCCTAGAGAGAAGGGAGTTTCTAGAGAGAGAAGCTCTCAAATGGCGGTTTGGAAAAGTAAGAGAGAGAGAGGAAGTGTAGAAAATGATTCAAAAATGCCCATCTGCCCTCTGTTATACAACATTCCCGCTCAAGCGGAAAACACAACGCTCGAGCGCCAAGAACAAAAAACTAGGTCCGCTCAAGCACAAGAAATCCCGCTCGAGCTCCAAGACACAAGAATAAAGTACATCCCCTCGAGCGCAAAAACCAGTCCGCTCGAGCGTAGATTCCCCCCTCCCAGAACCTACACCAAAAAGTACTACCTGCTCGAGCGCCAGAGTACCCGCTTGAGCGCGACTGCTCGAACGTAAAGAAACCCGGTCGAGCGTGAAAAACATGCTTGCAGAAGTTCTGTAGAGCACCAAAATACTGGAAGTGTGCAATCTCCGCTCGAGCGCAACAAGACCCGCTCGAGCGGAACTCCTAAAAACTGGGCAACAAAGAATTGAAACCAAAGCCTAACCAACCTATAACAACTCTGCCCAATACATCCTAAAACTCAATCAAGCGGAATTAAAGGATGACAACAAGGTATACAACCACCAACATCACGGAACCTAAGTTCGGAAAACAATAAATACAGAAAGGTAAAATCGGAATCGCTATATAGTAGATAATTCTTTGTTGACTATTACTCATAATTCACAGCACAAGTCAAATAAATATTTGGACCTATGAACAAATCAATGTAATAACTCGATTAGCTAATCCTGGCGGTCTAGAAGGAGGGTTAGTCTTCTTTTTCTTTTTTCTTTTTTTTTTTTTGGAACTATTAACTAAATCACAAATTACTGTCAAGTAAAATGTACTAAAATTATTTGTTTTCGACTTATAAAATACTTTTCAAGATCGACTCACTATGTAAATAATTTATACCTAATATATTTTAAAATTCATTAAGGATTCATTTGGAAAGTGCCTTTTTAATTAAAATATGAGATAAAAAAAATTATATATTTGAAAATACTACAACATCTTCTTAGTTTAGTGACATTTGAAAGTGTCACAAAACTATTGATTTAATAACAATTTTTTCTTGTGGTATTTTGAACAAGTGCCATTTGTATCTGTGCCACGGTAGATACTTGCAAATGCCACTACACCATCATGGCTAAAAACTTTCAATGACATTTTGATGTCATGGTAGCTATTATTTATGGCACTATCAAGCGCCATTAAAAAAAGAGTTAGTGACACTTATAAGTGTCATTACACCATCAAGACTAAAACATTTCAGTGACACTTTAATGTCATGGTAGGCATTATTCACGACGCTATCAAGTGCCATTCGTAACGATAATTCGTTGTAGAACAATTTGATCCGTTCTTGCGGAGACTCGAACTGCCAACCTCCCGCACCATAAACGTTATACACCATACTTTTTCCACTGCACCTCTATAGCACCACATGATTATATATGCAACATATATTATTTATATAGTATATACATCCATATTAGCATAAAAGTATATGTATAAACATAATTAGTTTATTGAACATAATTTATGTAAAATAAACTATTTACTAGCAAAATAAAAAAAAAACCACTTTTGGCGACTAAAAATATTTTTTAGTCGCCAATTCTATACTTTTGGCTACTAATTGTTTTTAGTTGCTAAAAAACTTAACTTTTGCCGACCAAAATCGGATTTGGTCGCCGAATATGCACTTTCAGCTACCAAAATTTTGGTCGCCAAAAAATTTAATTCCCGCCTTAAGATTTTAGTTGTCCCGTGCTAAAAATGATCACTTTTGGCGACTAAACTTATTTTTTAGTCACCAATTGTAGACTTTTGGCTACTAAAATTTTTTTAGTCGGTAAAACCCATATAATCAGTGACCAAACTTATTTTTAGTCGCTAATTGTAGACTTTTGGCTACCAAATTTGTTTAGTCGCCAAAAGGCTTCACAATTGGCTACTAATGCTTTTTTAGTCGCTGAAAGCTATACTTTCAGCGACCAAATTTTTTTGGTCAGGAAATTTAGTCGCCGAATATGCTTTTTCCTGTAGTGTATATTGTGTTTAATTTATTTATTTTTAATCATTTACCGCATTTTAAAAATTTAGAAAATATATTGGCATTTTTTATT